CATTACTGTTACATCAAAAAGCTGCGCTGTTTGCTTCGCTGCATCACTGACACGGAGTTCAAACACAATTTTTGTAACATTAATGTACATTTGGGACGTGTAGGTGGGAGGAATGAGACCTAAAAAAACAATAAGTCACACTTTTTGGGGGAAATGTATTTTATAAAATCAGAGACCAGGAGCCAACGTTTCCTGTGTAAAGTGAAGTTGTAGTAAAAACAATAGGAGAGAAAACAACAGACTGTTAACGTCACATATGAACAGTTCTTCAGATAAACTATAACATAAACAACAGAACAAGTTTAACAAACTCTCCGTCTCACTCCAAATCACTAAATCACTTCAATTCTTCATCCTCGGTGTCACTTCTGAACAACTCGGCCTCGACCTCCGGAGGTAAACAGAGCGACGCAAACTCTTCTGTGTCGCTGTCGTCAGACTCAACATCAGTTCAGTTAGAATTATTCTGGTCTTTCTGAATCTCGACAGGATGTCAGGGTCTTTAAAGTCTTAAAAAGCTCTTAAATTTCATGTTCCTTAATTAAGGCCTTAAAAAGTCTTAAATTATGTTGTTCCAAGTCTAATTTTTTTTCACAAAAGTGTTAAATTTCATGAGCCTATTGTTGTTTACTGAACTGGACTTCAGTGTCACTCCACCAGGTCAGGCTCACACCTCCCTCTTTCTCTTTCTCTTTCTCTTTCTCTTTTTCTTTCTCTGTTTCTGGTTGAAGCATTTTGAAAGTCAATGTGAGACAAAACAATGTGAAAGTTTAGTTTGTCTTGTTAGAATTACGACTATAAATGAGTTCTGAATGAGATTTTATAATAAAAGTATTTTCTGTTATTTAAAGCAGTGAGTAATGGTCATTATAAGAACTGGATCTGGAGTATTTCACCTGCGTAAATGGGCTCGATGTTGGTCTTAAGTTTCATTGAAGTGATCTTAAAAAGGTCTTAAAAAGTCTTAAATTTGAGGTCGTCAAACCTGGAGACCCTGGGATGGTTTCAGTGTCACTGAAGTCCAGACTTTGTCCGTCCAGTGACTTCAGGAAAGTTTCATGGTTGCATCCTCCACAAGTCACAAGTTTCTCTCTCACTCCAAACTTTCTTTCTGCTGCTCCATTTCTGTTTTCAGCTGCAGATTTCTTTTAAAGGTTGTATGGAGGATTTTTTTTTGTTTCAAACTGTCAGTCAAAGATTACAATACCATTACAGAGATGCAGCAGCTTTGTAATTATGATGACAAAAAAAAAAAAGAATGAAAATCTATCAACTGTGGACGTGTTGAGGCCAGATAAACATCAGCCAATAGAAAACGAGGCTCCCTCATTTTCTATTGGCTGTTAGGTTGTCAATCAAACTCCCTAGTGTAACTGACTCATCGGAGTGCGGGGATTATGTGGTTTACGCAGCGGTTCTTAGAGGCTTTTTTGAACTGTCGCTTCCTCGCATTTCGCACAAAGTTTGTCGTGACGGTGGACGAGAATCCACGACCGGTTCGCCGCAAAAGGAGCAAAGCCAAACTGAGGTGATTCTTGGAGATCTCGTCCAGCGATGGCGCGACCGAAGCAGACGAAGGGTCTAAAAACTGACGCGTCGGTCGCTGAATTACTTCTAGACAGGAAACTTCAACAGTAAATTCTGAACGCGCACAAGGACTGTCGCTGTATTTCTCTTCCCTTAAAAAAATCCTCTATACAACCTTTAAATCTGCAGAATCTGATTTTGTTTTTTTGGGGCATTTGTGTTCAGTCTTCTCAGTCTTTGTCTTTATAAGTTTAAAGTTTAAATGTTAAATAGTTGAGTGGTGCAGAAGTAACGGTGCGATCGACTGGACATGATACAGACAGAACAGAGGCTCTTTCTGCAGGAGACATGCGCAGTAGAGCCAAGTGACAGTGGTACAGGAGGAACAGGAGCCAAACCATGAAAAAAAGTGACACTTATAGTCCAAAAAATACGGTAATATGAGCCGTGTCAAAGGACAGTTTGTGAGTTTCTGGAGGTGACGATAGAAATCAAAAGTTAAATGATGACATGATCGTTTTCTCGATTAGTTTCTCTCTAATTTACACGTCTTCAGAACATCTCGTGTTGTTGTTGTTTTTTTTTCGGCGTGTGTATTGTGCGTTTCTCGGGCGAACCGTCGGGCCTGCCGCTATCATTTGCGTTTTATGGCCGTTTCTATCATTCGAAAGCGCAGTTATAATGAAGCTAATCCATCACCAAGAAAATGAGCAAACTGCTTCCTGTCTGCTTTTCCAATGAGACATTCTGCCGTACGCACATTAAACGCACCATAACTCATGCGGCAGGGCTGCTCCTGTCATTACCGCGCATCTCTCTATTTTGGAAAATGTAGTGTCGTTTTTTTTTTTTTTTTTTTTTTTTTCACTTTTTCCGTCAGTTAACCAGCTTTTAGTCATGTTATAATCGATTTTTTGATTCATTTATGCTTTTCTTGGTTTATATTTATATAAATCAGCCTAAATCTACAGGGTTTCTGAGTTAAACGTGTGAAACAAAACACAACTCGGTCTGGACTCGGTCTTGAAGACGCTTGGACTTGGTCTTGTCTCGGTCTTGTCTCGGTCTTGTCTCGGTCTTGAAGACTCGTCTTGGACTCGGTCTTGTCTCGGTCGGTCTCGGTCTTGTCTCGGTCTTGTCTCGGTCTTGTCTCGGTCTTGTCTCGGTCTTGTCTCGGTCTTGTCTCGGTCTTGAAGACGCTTGGACTCGGTCTTGTCTCGGTCTTGAAGACGCTTGGACTCGGTCTTGTCTCGGTCTTGTCTCGGTCTTGAAGACGCTTGACTCGGTCTTGTCGGTCTTGAGTCTTGGTCTTGGTCTCGGTCTTGTCTCGGTCTTGTCTTGGTCTTGTCTCTCTGGACTTGGACTCGGTCTTGTCTCGGTCTTGTCTCGGTCTTGAAGACGCTTGGACTCGGTCTTGTCTCGGTCTTGTCTCGGTCTTGTCTCGGTCTTGTCTCGGTCTTGTCTCGGTCTTGTCTCGGTCTTGTCTCGGTCTTGTCTCGGTCTTGAAGACGCTTGGACTCGGTCTTGTCTCGGTCTTGTCTCGGTCTTGTCTCGGTCTTGAAGACGCTTGGACTCGGTCTTGTCTCGGTCTTGTCTCGGTCTTGTCTCGGTCTTGTCTCGGTCTTGTCTCGGTCTTGAAGGTCTCGGTCTTGTCTCGGTCTTGAAGGACTCGGTCTTGTCTCGGTCTTGTCTCGGTCTTGTTTGGTCTTGTCTCGGTCTTGTTCGGTCTTGTCTCGGTCTTGTTTCGGTCTCGGTCTTGTCTCGGTTTCTTGTCTCGGTCTTGTCGGTCTTGGTCTTTCGGTCTTGGACTCGGTCTTGTCTTGGTCTTGTCTCTCGACTCGGTCTTGTCTCGGTCTTGTCTCGTCTTGTCTTGGTCTTGAAGACGCTTGGACTCGGTCTTGTCTCGGTCTTGAAGACGTCTTGGATCTCGGTCTTGTCTCGGTCTTGTCTCGGTCTTGTCTCGGTCTTGTCTCGGTCTTGTCTCGGTCTTGTCTCGGTCTTGTCTTGTCTTGGACTCGGTCTTGTCTCGGTCTTGTCTCGGTCTTGTCTCGGTCTTGTCTCGGTCTTGGACTCGGTCTTGTCTCGGTCTTGTCTCGGTCTTGTCTCGGTCTTGTCTCGGTCTTGTCTCGGTCTTGTCTCGGTCTTGTCTCGGTCTTGTCTCGGTCTTGTCTCGGTCTTGTCTCGGTCTTGTCTCGGTCTTGTCTCGGTCTTGTTCTCGGTCTTGTCTCGGTCTTGTCTCGGTCTTGTCTCGGTCTTGTCTCGGTCTTGAAGACGCTTGGACTCGGTCTTGTCTCGGTCTTGTCTCGGTCTTGTCTCGGTCTTGTCTCGGTCTTGTTCGGTCTCGGTGTTTCGGTCTTGTCTCGGTCTTGTCTCGGTCTTGTCTCGGTCTTGTCTCGGTCTTCATGGCGCTTGGTCTCGGTCTTGTCTCGGTCTTGTCTCGGTCTTGTCTCGGTCTTGTCTCTTGTCGTCTCGGTCTTGGGTCTCGGTCTTGTCTCGGTCTTGTCTTGGTCTTGTCTCGGTCTCTGTCTCGGTCTTGTCTTGGTCTTGTCTCGGTCTTGTCTCGGTCTTTGTCTTGGTCTTGTCTTCGGTCTTCGGTCTTGTCTCGGTCTTGTCTCGGTCTTGTCTCGGTCTTGTCTCGGTCTTGTCTCGGTCTTGTTGGTCTCGGTCTTGTCTCGGTCTTGTCTCGGTCTTGTCTCGGTCTTGTCTCGGTCTTGTCTCGGTCTTGTCTCGGTCTTGTCTCGGTCTTGTCTTGGTACTTCAGACCAAATGCATCTGTGTTTGTGACGTTTGTGTTTGTTAAATGTGCAGAGGATAAATCCCACTGCAAAACCAGTAAGAGGATGAACCTCCAGTTAGAAACTTGAAAAAATCGGTTTAAAAGTCCTACGCACTTTTTTCACAGTTTTGTGTAAAGTCCCAGTGGAAGTTTTCTTAAAGAAGCTTCTCAAACTGTGGGCGAGGGTCAGAAACAGTGTGTTTCACTGAAGTACAGTTTGTTTGGCTTATTTTAGCTTAAATGAACTTTAATCAGATCAAATTGAGATAGATTTATTAAAAAAAAACAAAAAAACATTTATATAAATGTGTGAAAATAACTGTGACAAACATAAATGTTGAAAATTACAAAGATGGTCTTGATTTGGTCTCGATGGGCTGTGGTTTCGGTCTCGTCTTGGTCCCGTCTCGGTCTCAACCTTTAAATTCTTGGTCTTGTCCTGGTCTCGGGTCCTGGGGTCTCAGACTGGTCTTGGTCTGGATTAGTGCAATCTTTAACTACAAAACTACAGTTTGTGATGAGGAAACTACATTATAACACGACTTAAACTCACAGGAGTCGATTCTGACTAATGGACCTTTAAAAACATAAATATATCCACAGTTCACAAGAGTAAATGTTGTGCTCCGTTTACAAGCTTCATTTAAAAGCCTGTGTGTTTTCTGAACGACTTTCTTGTGTGTTTTGTGTGTTTCAGTGTCGGACGGCGAGCACACGACTCCAGAGATGGACTTCGCCATCCTGGTCCTGTCCAACCACCAGCAGCCGCCCGTGTTCCAGGTGCTGGACCCTCTGGTGGAGGTCAGCGTGGGGGGCCAGGCCACCATCGGTGAGGACGACACACACTCCCTCCGCCTTCACACACTCCCTCCGCCTTCACACACTCCCTCCGCCTTCACACACTCCCTCCGCCTTCACACACTCCCTCCGCCTTCACACACACTCCCTCCGCCTTCACACACTCCCTCCGCCTTCACACACTCCCTCCGCTTTCACACGCTCCCTCCGCCTTCACACACTCCCTCCGCCTTCACACACTCCTGTTCTTGTTTAGTCCTGGTTTAGACCTGGTTTAGACCTGGTTTAGTCCTGGTTTAGTCCTGGTTTAGTCCTGGTTTAGTCCTGGTTTAGTCCTGGTTTAGTCCTGGTTTAGTCCTGGTTTAGTCCTGGTTTAGTCCTGGTTTAGTCCTGGTTTTAGTCCTGGTTTAGACCTGGTTTAGACCTGGTTTAGTCCTGGTTTAGTCCTGGTTTAGTCCTGGTTTATTTTCCAGCAATGAGTGGAATTACCGAAAAAAAGAAGAAGAGGAAAAAAAAGGGGGTTTTAGCCCAAAATGTGAAAACAGTAAAATCCCTCTGTTTAATCCTTTTATTTCAACAAAGTAACTGTAATCCAATTACCACTCACTGAAACAGTAACTGTAACTGAATACAGTTACTCATCATTTGTACTCTGATTACATAACTCCAGTACATGTAATCTGTTACTCCCCAACACTGTTTAAGAACAATACAAAAAGCACAAAAATATCAAACAGAAGGAATTAAAAAAACAGACAATGATGTAAACAATCCAGTTACTGCAAAAAAACAAATCTAGTCAAGTTTAGATCCTTGAATTAAGAAAGTTTGATCATGATTTGAGTAAATTATCTAACAATGGAACAAGACTTTTTGTAGGTAAAATATGAAAATACATCTTGCTACAGTTAAAATAAGAAAAACAACAACTTTTTGCACTTAAAATAAGAAACAAAATCGAATATTGCTCGAATTAAGAAAAACACACTTAGTCCACTGGTAGATAATTTTACTTGTCAAGTTAAATCGACTCAAATAAAATCAAATTAATTTAAGTCATTACTTTTTACTTATCTAGATATTGTGTTTTCCAGTGTAATTATCATAAATAAAGTAAAAAGAATTATAATAAAAAGAAATAAGTAATAAAATCAAGCTAAAACCATTTAACCCCTGGTAGATTTAGACTGTATATATAAATGGAAATAGCTGAACCAAATGAACCTCGTTGGACTGATTTCTTTAGTATTTAAAGTGCATTATAACGATTAGTTCGTGGTATTTTTGAGTTCTTTTAATATATTGTTTTGTTTTGAGGATTTTAAGAGAGGAAAAGTATGCAAGTAGAGAACGGAAATGGCTTTTTATTGTTTTATTTTTTGTTTTTTTATTTTTGTTTTTTAACAAAACCAGAACAAAAATGAATCAAAAAACCCTCCCACGCTGCTTCCCCGCTCCACCCTGACGTTTAATCCTGCCAAAATATTCAGGGAAAGTGTCCAAATGTGTTGAAAGTCCTGCCGCTTCCCTCTCACTGGAAATGGCTTTTAAGTGAACTAAGTAACTCAAAATATTGCACCGACGGGTAATTTAATTTAAAAAGGGAAGGGAAAAAAAGCCTGAAACACATAATTACACTGACACTTTTGGAAATAGACTTTTAGGATTCCAGCTTTTTGAGCGAGAACAAGACGTAACAAGAAATAACTCAAGTGGACTTAGACTTAGAGCCTTATTCAAGTATTTTTTCCTTCATTTCTTGTTTTGTCGTTGTATTTCTCAGTGTCAAAAATCGAACAGCCGCAGCCAAAGTTTTCATGATAATTACATCTTCAGATTCACATATTTTTATATAAAGACGTAAAGAGACTCTGATTCAAATACTGACAGAAACATCATTTGAAATGTATTTTTGACTCTAAATATTCAGATTTGAAGAGGTACTCCCCACATTAGGTACTCCAACACATTTTGGGTGAAAAAAATTCTCTCCAGTTACTAAAGTTCAAAAGGGGGGCTATTTTATTTTATACAGGGCCACAATAGAAGTGAATGTTACCGTATGTTCCACACCATAGGGCGAACTCAAAAGACTCCAACAGCATCAAAACACGACCGCGCCCCACAATGCAGAGCTCCCCATACACGAGTCCACTCAGGTGTCTCAGTACGACTTCAGTAAACGACAAACACACAAAACACACACGACACACACACACACACACACACACACACACACACAACACACACACACACACACACACACACACACACACACACACACACACACACACATACACACACACACACACAACACACACATAAACACACACAGAGCAGACACACACACACACACACAGACACACATAAACACACAAACACACAACACACAACACACA